GGCTTTCAGCATGTGTCCTGCTTTTGCCACGAGCAGCCATGGCTCAGGCGCGCAGCTGGGAGCAAAGGGCTAAAGCATCATGGGAAGAGGTGGACTGGGATGACTCGGACAACTCAAGCGAGGACTGAGGTGTTAGCGCTGCTCAGGTGGGGCATATAATTGCAAAAGTGAGGGAATTGTACTTTATTAAATTGAGCACTTGTATGAAATTCCATAATTCTTTACCAGATTGAGTTTTGGGAGCGTCCTTGTCGTGCCTGTCTGTAAGTAACTGAAGGTAAGTTGGAAGTGTTCTGGTTTAGATCATTTCCAAATCACACTCCTTTATGCTTGTGGGTTAATTTTGCCAACTCTTTTAGGTTGTTGTGCCATTTTATATTGTTTTATGTCCAAAACTTCATTCAGAACTATGAGAAACTGTTGGAGATGCTTACACTGTACATGCACTTTACAAATATGGTTTGATTTTGTTTATAATGATGGTGCCTTTATTTTACAGATGTGTTTTGGTAAGTCCAATGCCTTTTTATTAATAGATTTGAATTAAGTGCAATAACAATTTTCAAAAGAGTAAAGGAAAGGGTGAGGAAAGTGGTAAAAAGGATGCTCTAGTGCAGGGGTTGGCAACCTTACACACATGTACTACTATTTAGGGATGTTCATTTTGGTTATTTTTCCTAACCGACAACCGACGCTCGTTAACCGATTATTAACCGTTAACCGACAAGATTATTTTAAATTAGAATTGAATTAAATTAGACCGGATAAGTGTCTGTGACCCATTAAAAATACTAACATTTGTTTTCCGGGGATTAATTTTACATGTGCAAAAAGCAGCAAACAACAGAACATGAGGATTCACATGGTCATATCATATCACATCACGCACCTGCAGCGCTTCTGCCAGCGGAGAAAAACATCATAAAGCTAGGCTATATATGTATATAACGAATAAATTGGCCTATACGAGAAATATATTTTTACTTATATAATAAATTAATGTGTCACTTATGATGGACAATGTATAGTTATGAAAGTTTGAATTGTTCAGGCTGAATATAGCCGGTGGGAAGAAACTGTTCTTGTGCCTGGCTGTTCTCTGTAGTGTCGACCAGAAGGCAACAGTTGGAAGAGAAAGTGGGCTGGATGTGTGGGGTCCAAAGTGATTTTCTTAGCCCTTTTCCTCACTCTGGAGATGTAAAGATCTTGGAGGTTGGGCAGAGGGGCACCGATAATCCTTTCAGCAGTCCTGACAAAAACGGCAAAAAACTCTCCAAAATGGCACTATAGGGTGACGCGGAGGAGACAAATTGTTGAATGAAATCGTTATTTTTGTTTTCTTTGCGCACAAAAATATTCTCGTAGCTTCGTAAAATTATGGTTGAACCCCTGATGTCACATGGACTAATTAACGATCTCCTTGTTTCTGAGCCTTGATCGTGTAAGGATCCTGTCTATGGGAGGGTCAGAGAGCTCTCAGAATTCATCAAAAATATCTTAATTTATGTTCCGAAGATGAATGAAGGTCTTACAGGTTTTGAACGACACGAGAGTGAGTAACTAATGAAAGAATTTTCATTTTAGGGTGAACTAACCCTTTAACTTCCTGTCTGTAAGCAGACTCGTCTCCACTGTGTATGAGGCCGATGATGGTAGTGTCATCTGCAGATTTCATGAGCTTGACAGAGGGGTCTTAGTGCATCTGTTCGTAACTGAGCAGCAAATCAGCATATTCGACTGATTTCTGAAGGATCATGTGACACTGGCGTAATGATGCTGAAAATTCAGCTTTGCCGTCACAAGATTCAATTGCATTTTTAAATATATTAAAATAGAAAACAGTTCTTTTACATTTTAATAATATTTCACATTAATACTGTGTTTTTGATCAAATAAATGCAGCTTTGGTGAGCAGAAGAGACAACATGTCAACTTTCGAAAGCTAGTGTTAGTGTTTATAGAAATGGGGAACGAGTCACAGTGATTGCTATTATAAATAAAAAATTGCACTTCATCTCAAGACAGGTTGCCAACTGCTGCTTTAATGAATGCTGATTTACTATTTTGTTGGCTGTCAAGTCACTCCAAAGAGAAATCATCAAAAAAATTGCAAGCGTTAGATGAGCTAGTTTAACGTGAACTGTTATTCAAGAGTCTTTTGCGATGTAAAAAGCAATTCTGTTCAAAATATTATGCACTCCTTTTTACCGTTTGCTTTTTCTTTTATTCAATATATCAGACGTATCGCCTCTTCTAAACATCTCTGATTTGTTTGACCCTTTTGAATGTCATAACAAGGATCACATGAAATCTGAAAATCACTGATTTTCTTATTTTTAATACATGTTTTGTGGAATATTTGATTTTTGTATCAAATTTCCATTATATTTGACATGAAATGGTATAAATATACATTCACTCTGACTGTAATTACTAAGACTAATTGTATTTCTTCTAATATTTTGGAAATTCATTACACATTTTAACTGCATTACCAGTTTGCAATGTCAAATTCATGAATTATCACATATACAATAAAGATCAGCGGATTGTACTGTAGTTGTTTGGGTGGCTTTAAAGGTTTCGAACAAGGCCGGGTTAATACAACGAGTCAGAATAGAAACTGAGAAGAGGAGAGGGAAATAATTTTATATAAGCAGGGAATACTTTTTGTAACTGGTATTTGGAAAATGTGACGATTGATTTAGAGACAGATGCAGATGCTGATGGTGTTTTAACTGCCTCTACAGCATTAACACATGATTGAGGAGCTTTTACAGCCTCACTTCAGAGTTAAATGGTGTTAAAAGGGTTTTTACACCGCAGACGTTTGTGTACTTGCGTTCACTTCACCCAGTCATAAAAACCCTTTCAGCACCTTGTTTCATTTCCCCTTCTCTGACAATAATCTCATGTTTTTCCAGCACATAACAGTCTAGTTTATATGACATCGTGCAACAGCTCCTTTTTCAGCTTTTTGCCTCAATCTTCTTATTAGCTAGCATTATTACAGCTTGATTACCTGACAATTAAATGTGTTAGATACAGTTAAACTAGAAGTACTTTAATAATTGGTAACAATATGCATGTTGCATGTGATACACAGTGAAATTATATTATAAAGCGAATGGTTCTTATGACAAAAACGATGAAATGTTTTATAGTCATAACAAAGGTGAAACAGTTCACAGTATGACAAAAATAAATTCTTTGGTTGGTCTTTACAAGGTAGCCTAAACAAACTGCAAACTTCCGAGTAGATATAAAAAGATACACACTTCAGCTTGCTTTTAAAAAGAGCACTTATTACAGAAATAATATACTAGATATACTTAAGTGCAAATATAATTGCATGTTCTTTACAATTAAATGAAAATGTATTTAAATTTTAATATACATTTATATTAATATACATTTTTAAATCAAATTATTAATTTGAAATTTCGACATGAAAAATGTTATTGCATATTCTACGTGAAGTATATACAAAATGCGTGAGCTAATAAATAAATATAAATCATAATACATTCTTTAGCATCTTACATTTATTTTATTTGGAGAAACACAATCTAACAGAAATACTGTGTGAATACGAAAGTTTTCTTAGAAACATACAGTAAAAGCATAACTTTCCTTTCCATCCCATGCATTCTGCTTACAATTGAAAATGATTTTTGTAATATGGTTTGATACTCTTTCTCTTGCAACATTTTGCTATTTTGGCCCTTTTGAGGCCGAAGACATTTTATTTTCATACTTATATGCACCTATTTAATATAAGTAAAATTAATGTGAGTGTATATTTACCCTGTTCATGCCCCAAAATGTAATAAAAACAGAACTTACATGACAATATTTTGTCTTTAAAGAACTTTCAAAGCTTGAAAAGAGCCTAAGTAGGAATAGAATATAAATGATAACACATTCTCATCAGTGTTGTCACCAGTATCAAGAAAAATCAGCTATTTCAGATATTGTTAATATTTGAGGTAAATGAGGGATTGGTGTGCTCTTGTTTGTGCCACGGAAGTAGCTTAGCAAATATAAACATGGTAATGCTTATCTGTAGTGTCTTTGAGTACCAAATAGCTGCTAAGCTTGTCTAAAAGATGCTAAAGAGCTCTGTAATGAATTGAGCTTGGCTAATGCTCCCACTCAGGACAGACAAATACACCTCCCTCCCCCCTTTAAGGAAGTCATTAGCGCCTGACATCCTTGACGGCAGCAATCAGCGTCCGTCTGCATTTTGGAGTGGTGAAAAGGCCCCCCCCCACCCCATTTTCACGCCTCTTAAGACTCTTTCATGGGCACAGAGGGGCCTATGACATGCTTTGTTATGTAAGGTAGTACCTTAAGTGTCCTGAGGATGCAACATCAAATAATGTGTGTGTAGACAGACAGAGATGGGTGGGGTTCCAATTAGAGCCAACAAAAGGGGGGGAAAAGTAAAAGAAAAACAAAAATAGGGCACTGAAAGTGAAAAAAAAAAAAGTATTTTTATAATAGTTGACAGAAATGAACAAACAAAAAGAAAATGTAGTAATTCTGAATGTGTAAATACATACATTTATGAGTGATTTGTTGCAAAAAAATATCAAATACCTGGTTGCTATTTGTTGAACTGATTTTCACATGTTTTTGAGGATTTAGCAACATTCTGTGCAATCATGCTAATAAAATGTTTGAAAAATATATTTCTATAAACTTGAGCTTCTTATATTAATGATATTTGATTTAGTGATGCTTGTTTTTATATTAATGTTTATATACATCAATATATTATGAGTCACCATGAGCCTTCTCGCACAGACTTTCAAAGTGCTCTCGTTAACTCTTATAGCAGATGTTTCCGTCTACTTCACTTCCCCTTTAACTGAACTTCATGACCCATTGGATTTAGTCATATAAGCTTATTAGCTGCTTATTTCTTTCTTTGGGAAAGAAAAAGACCATGACCACAGCATCTTTGAAGATATTTACTGATCATTCTGAATTTCAGACATACAATATTGTAATTTCCAAACAGCATTTTACACTACACGATTCTCTTTTTTAAACAAAAACAATATTAAGTAGCAGCAAACGCAAACACAGAATAAATAGACATTTTAACAACAAAGCCCAGAAAACCAGTCCGTTCTTGGTCCTCGGTACGCAGGCATGAGTTTTCAAGTCAAAAAGTATCAAAAGTCCATTTCCAAATGCGTTTAATGCAGCACAATTGACAAGCACAGTCTTTTCTCACAGAAAACAAAGACCCTCAGATCAGCAGACATACTCTTTTCAGTTAAACTGAAGCAGGTTCTTTATTTTCTATTTGCATCCAAGTTGACTCCCGAACAACATTCTAGTTAGTGCCACTTCCTCATTACACTTTCGCTCAGTGTTTATCTGGCACTCACAGGTACCCCATCATCTGAAGATCCAGATCTCATTGTGCAAGACTTTAGAAAGCGTCCCGTCTCTCGCTCACCAGCACGAGTAAGAAAACAGTGGGTATTGGCTCCAGTCCCCTACATTTCCGTGGTGATAGCCGTGATGGACGGCCTGGGTGCTGTATTCGGTGGGAAGGTGGTGATGGGGAGGTGGAGGAGGGGGGTATTGAGTGGACGCTACCCCGCTCCACTGTCCCAGAGACTGTTCTGTACTGTAGGGCGTGTAGAGCGGATGGTGGCCCAGAATACCTGGCTTGGCCTGGGCTATGGCCATGTTCAGCACTCCTGCGTAGTCCTGGTGCCCCGCGGAGGGATGTGGCGGGCAGGGAGGCAGGCCGAACTCAGGGGCGGAGGGCTTGCTGGAGGTGTCTTGATCGGGCACGGTGGCAGCATCCGGCACTCGGGACTCAAAGCTGGGGCGGCTTCCACATCCACTGCTGCTGCCAACACTGGAGGAGGACGGCGAGGGGGACTTGCCATATTCATGAAATCTGTGAAAAGATTGAGAATTTAACATCGAGACACTGACAAGGGGAAAAATAGCTTAGTAAGTCTTGTTTGAGGTCTGTAGCCTGTACCTGTAAGGCTGGTATGTGTTTTGTCCCGGTACGAGCTGCTCAGAGCTGTAAATTTCCCGAGTGTCCGAGCCCAGAGGGGACTCTGCACGGAGAGCGTGGCCGTTGTCCCGGTCACACGCACCTGCCCATGGGGAGTACCGCTCGGGCTTCACCTCCGACTCCTTACGGCCCACATGTTCATCATCAAGACCCTCACATGAGGACTGCTGGATATCTGAAGAGATAAATATCAAGGAGACTTTAATAAATTACAAATAAAACAACTATTTGAGAAATTTTAATAAAAAAAAAAAAAATGTACTCGTCAGCTTGGACAACTGAACCCAGGCTGCTAGTTAAAAGCCTACAAATCCTGTACGTACATGGAGATATTAATTTAAATGTAAAGACCATTACCTCGTGGGCTTCCATGTTCTGAATCTTTTGACAAGTTCATCTTCTTTGCAACTCTTTCAGGATCAGCCATACTTCGATTTGCTCGTCTGTCAAAGGAAAATTGTTAACCATGTAAAACTGTAAACAAATGTATTGAACTTATTGGAATTTTAAAATATAGAATACATTTTTAATAATAAATGTAAAAAATTACAAATAAATAAAAGTTTGTACTTCATTTCATATTTTGTAATAAAACAATCTTTATGATTTTTTCTTTTTTGGAATGGATTCCATTTTTAAGTCAATTTTTAGAGTAACGGGTCATGAAAATAAAAATAACATCAAGATAATCTTACCTTTTAGAGTTTGTGCTCTCATCTCTGAATCCTTTGGCAAAGGGGTTGTGGTCGATTTTCAACTTTGTAATCTGTGAGAGAAATAATGTAACCACCAATCTCAGTTCTAATTAATGCTAAGAAAAAAAATTACCATTATCTATTCAACTTCGAAATGTATGCATAAGAACATATACATGCTTCACATAACATTATAAGAATTGGTGCTGTAACAACCATATATGATAAGGGGATGTGTCCCCACCCCTATTTCCAGAATAGTGGTCAATCAGTGTGTTGCTGATTATTACATTTTTATAAAACTCTTACCTTTGTGTTCTGGTATGCAGTGACAGCAGTGAAGGATGTCTCGGGGAAGGTAAAGGTTTGGAAGACGCTCCACCGTACGCTGTACAGATCATCAGCCTGGACGATATGGAAACGCGGATGGTAGCGGTGCATGGAGTGAAGGATAATCTGAATCGAAAGAAGAGACATTGGTTAAAATCAAAGTCAAATTACTATTAAACAAATGTAGGAATCTGAACAGGCACTTACATGCCCATGTTGGTCCAGGGCATTGTTGGTAAGCTTGAGCTTGAGGAAGGACACGGGCTGTTTCATCCAGTGGCTGCCGGGCGCTGGTGAATCAGGGTGTAGGTACGTCCTGTAGGGCGGCTGAGGCTCAGACTTACCAGCGACCTCCCACTTGTCCTTGTTCCACTAAGGAAGAAGAAGCATTTCATTAAATATCTGAAGACAGAATAGTGAACTAGAGCTTCTAGAGTGGCCGTGACATAAGGTGCAGGGGGTGCTGGGGTGTGAGAGTATGTGTGAACGAGAGTGTGTGTCGGGGCAAAACCCCCCAGTGGGCTCTGTAAAAACAGGAAGAGTTGGGGCTCTTTGAAGTTGAGGACTGCAATCAGTGGTGAGAACGTTCTGGGGAGACACACGTGACAACGTCCCCCAACGCTCCAGCCGTTCACGACTGATTCCCAATTCAACAGCTCTTCATTTCAATAGGACTCTAATAGTCTAGACTAGCCTGCGACCAGAGCATTCAAATGGATAAGACTTGAATGTTTGTGATCTATGAACGTTCTTAGAATCTGGTTGTTAATTGCATTAGAGAAAGACTAGATGAGGTTTTGGTTCTAACCTTATATCTCAGACCATCTTCTGGCACCATGTCCACCAGTAAGATGTACTTTGCATATGGCACCAATCCAGACAAGCTGATTTTGCAGTGTGGAAACATCCTCCTGTAATATAAGCATACAAAAGCAAGTTTAGCTCCAAGAATTGAAGTGAAGAGAAGTGACGTGTGGCCAAGTATGGTGACCCATACTCGGGAGTGAGTGACGTGACGTGGCCAAGTATGGGGACCCATACTTGGAATTAACAGCAGTGAACGCACACACCGTGAACACGCACCCGGGGCAGTGGGCAGCCAATGCTGCGGCGCCCGGGGAGCAGTTGGGGGTTCGGTGCCTTGCTCAAGGGTCTCACCTCAGTCATGGTATTGAGGGTGGTAGAGAGCGCTGGTCATTCACTCCCCCACCTACAATCCCTGCCAGACCTGAGACTCAAACCCGCAACCTTCGGGTTACAAGTCCGATTTTCTAACCATTAGGCCACGAATGCCCCCCGTTGAGGTCTCAGACATACATTAAGGTCAGTTTATAGAGTTTAGCTGATCCGAAACTTGTCGACAGATTAAGTTGTAGTTGGTTCTGAGACAGACCTGCCAGGTTTGGTAATGATCATCTCAGTGCCGATCTCATGGAAGGATCTCCACAGCTCCGGATCCTCCAGAGTCATTCGGATGTTGCCCTGGTGATAGGAATCCCCAGCTCCAGTCATGGAAGGCGGAGGAGGGAGACTGAAATTGTGCTTGAGGTCTGAGGAAAGATGGAATATTTGAGATTTTCAATCAATGGCATTCAATGAGAGACTCTTGGAATTTCATTCAGTGCAAAACGAGTTAACAATGAAGCCAAGTCTAAATAAATGTTGCACACCAAGAGTAAGAGCCCTCAAGTTGCATTAGAGTTAAAACAAGTACTCACCCCTGATAGCCTGCATTATTTAGGCTTCTCACAAGATGTCCTCCAGAAGAAAATGAGACGGACCAAAAGATCTGAATGAGCAATATCTAGATGTTTTGTTTAAAAATACAAGTTCTCCATAAGAACTCAAAGGGCTTGAGTTAATTCCAACGTTAAGTCCAAGGATGTGTCTGTCTGTTGCTTCTGCCACAGATGCAGAGGGAGTGTCCCACACCTTTAAGTGGGATCTGGATGTGGGCTGGGCTTGGACACCCATTCCCAGCCTTTGAAGTGACACGGTGATGAGTCAATGTCATGATCTCATTGGCTGATGGGCAGAATCAAAGAGAGTTAGCAGAGCCTTGATAGAGTCCCAACAGGAAGGGGACAAGCAGAGGAAACATGTCTTTATGAACTGCTAAAGGACTTTTAAGCAAATACGTACAGGTCCAAAGCATACAGGATGGCAAATCAAGCACGAAATTCCCTTCATTAATCCAGCTAATGTAAGGAAGAGCAAAGACTTCACCTCTTCTAATTGACAGCATTGACCCCTTCACACAAACATAATCTGACACACTCAGCGCTCATGTTTGCTAATTCACACACACATATCCATCCACTAATTCTCACTGATGCTACAGACACCAGGTCCTGATTTTTACAACCAGGTCAGACCATGGCAAATGATTTGAAATGCAATTGAAGTTGTCACTAGAGTATGAGGTTCTTGTGAACTTTTTTTCTTTTCACATGTTCCGATCTTGGCCTTCACATTGAATTTTAATGGAAATGCTTTCACAACTTTAGGCCTTGGGTTAAACACATCTGCAGTGTTAATATTCATCTTAAATCATGAAGAAACTACAAAAGACCACACAGAACCATCTTAACCTTCATTACCTTTAGGTTTGGTTACGGTTGTCTTTTGTCAACAGTTGTTTAACAGCAGTTTTGAGACAAATATTGACATACAGTCTTAAAACTAAAGCTTCTTAATGGTCCTTGAAGCCCTAAGAAACAATTTTCTTATCAAGAATTAGTATTTGCGGTTCAGAGTGGCTATATGGTTCTTTGGAGATTCAAATATTCTTGATATTGTATTGAAAATATCAGATCAGACTTTTGGTTTTAGGAATCATCTTTTAAAAGAAGAGAAAATAAATAAGTTCCTTGGAACTCAAGTGCAGATGTTTTTATAGAATTATGAAACTTTAAACATTCTGCTATGGCAATCCTTTTTTGGTACTTATTTGAAACTTTGTTTTCAGGGGATTGATTTTACACTCTTAAAAATAAAGTTTCCAAACGTTTTTGCAGCAGCAGTGCCATAGAAGAAACATTTTTGCTTCCCCAAAGAACCTTTTAGTGAACAATTCTTAAAAGAACCATTTTCTCGGTGTGAAGAACATTCTAAAGTAATGGAATGGAAACATTCCATGGATGTTAAAGGTTCTTTTTGGATCCATAGATGCCAATAAGTAACCTTTATAGAGAATGTTTGAATACTTTTTGTATGTTTTAATGTTTCAAAAACAAACTGTTTTGAGGGATTTCCAAAATAAATTATGGAATATCAAATACTTGATTCTGACTGAATCATCTCACTCAATGTCTCAGTGAAAGTGCACCACATAAAGTCATTATAGAGTTATGGCAGAAAGCAAACCCTGGGGCAAATCTACAGGTGAGGTTTACCTGAGAATGAGCCTGTGGATGTGTGTGTGGTGGGAGGGAAGTGGTTGTGTATTCAGGGTGTCTAGACATGACCGTTCCTTGATGGTTAATCTCATTAGGAAGACATGCTCTCTGAAGGCAGCAGGCTTTCTATTCATGCAGAGAGATACAGGCAGAGATACATGAAGTGGGACAGATAGATAGATAGAGAACAGAAAAAAAGAAAGATGGATCCAAAAGATATGGGAATGTTTTAGTGGTTTACAGCCTGTTAGCACTACTCACTGCAGTTTTCTTGTCTTTTTTTTTTTTTTAAGAATAGGGAGAGTTTACTGAATATCAGGCATTGTTATGTATCTGTGACTATAAGCTGAAACCAGTGCTTGACTGACTGTTCACAAATTGATCTGCAAGCAGATGTGTCTTTATTCCTCTGTGCTTCTTTGGTAAAGTTGAAGATTGGAAGGCTTGATTTATATTCTTTGATAATTAGAATCGAGATAGTAGAGAGCACTGGAAGTTATGGGGAAATGGGAGAAGTTGAAAGCTTAAATATCACACAAAGGGGTCAAATAGAGAAAAAAATCTGGGATACTTTCCAATTTAAAAATGAAAATAAGGTTTTTAAAATTAAAGTTACGACAAATAATAAAATTCATGACTTAACAAATTAGAAATATTAAAGATTCTGCACTATTTCTTGGTTAATTTGTGACATTGATCTTGTGAACTCAATAGAGACTTCACTAAAAATCTAAAATTCTTTCACATTTAAAAATGATGACAAACAGAAAACATTTGACGTAAAATGTTTTAAAAAAAAATTAAAGATTATGCAGTATTTCTAGGCAGCTTTGTGACATTGACTGTGTGAACTCGATAGAGACTTCCTTAAAAGTTTTACTATTTTTAAAATTAAAATGATGACGAATAAGAAAACTTATGACATAAAATGAATTAAAAATATGAAAGATTCTGCAACATTTCTAGGTAAATTTGTGGCATTGATCATGTGAATTCAAGTATCTCAAGTGCTGCTGCCTTTACAGTGAAAGGGGGACAAACCAAATAAAGATATTTGGAATATTAATGTTTTAATATTAATATAAGCAAATAAATATTAATACTTGGAAATCAATAGCTTTTTTTCCCAGGTAGGACCTTACATAATTCTTAGTTGATTTCAATCCAAACTGGACCCAAATGGAACCCTTTAGGATTGATTCAAAAGAAGCTCCATATGCAGTTGCTTTAGTGTGTTTTAAAAACAGGAATTGAAAGAGACAGAGGCAGAACCGATGACTATTGACTGGTTCTGATGTTTTAGTCATCAGAAAACACAATCCTCAGTTTGTTCTGTTTCTCCACCCTGGCATAGAGCACTGTTAGCACAACTCTTTCTTATGCTAAACGCTAACCCCAGCAAAACAGACTCTTAATCACCACCATTTCCTACATTTGCAAGAACTCTCAAAGGACTGAAGCATTTGAGAACAAATACTGCCATATAAAAGACCCAAAAAATGATCGCCAAGACCATTCGCGTGACGACAATGTTGTATTGTTGATGCATACTGTGAATATGCATAGGCACTGGAAAAGATGGATGTCAGTTGACTCATTTTTCACATATGTAAAGTCAATTTATAATTTATTATACATTAGATGGCATATAAAGCAAAACACACGATGATAATGTTTCTTCCTGTTCATGGAAACATTTATAAATGAGCTATTAATGTATAATGTGTTATAACACATTTAGCAGCACTCTTAACACAAATGCAGTCTTGAGTGCTTTTCTCCCTACTGATCAATGGCAAATTAACCTAAAGCTTGTTTTAACTGTTGTTTTTAGTGGCTGCAATAAAGAAGATTAAAACACTTGTTCTTAAAGCAGCAGTTAAATCGGAGATGCCTTTTTTACGAGCTAAAAGCTCTCAAAAGCTGGAATCGTATTGATTGGGAATATAAGGTAGTCTAGGAAGATCTGTGTTAGTCTTATACTCAAATTCATCTATACAAAGTAAAGACGAGCATCGAAAATCCCTCACACCTCAGAGTCGCTCTGGATATTAACATTGAGAGACCTAAGCCTGGAGAAAACGACAGAAGACGTTAGCCAAACACGTTTAGCTATCTTTCCATCATGAAGGTGTGATGGCCAGGTTTCATTTCCTTCACCTGATACTGGTCAGTATGATTCACACATGGCGCGTGGCTCTGCTCACTCCTCTGAGGTTACGCACACATTGCTGCAAGACAAACGTATAGTTTTTCTAAACGTAATCCACCGGTGGCATGCTTGCATTAGCACTCATGCTAATTATCATTATGTGTGATCAGAGCGACTTTCAGACACATTTCAGACATTTTACACTAGACTAGGTTTGTGGTTGGTGTAAATTACTTTTTAGAGTACTTACTACAGTATTCAGTAACTAAATTCAATTACATATTTCTGTGAATTTGCGCTTTACTCAAGTACCATTGAAATTGAATCATGCACTTTCACCCAGTTTCATTTTAAAGTCAAAATCAAAATTTTGTACAATTAGGATCTGCCTATGGTCCACTGATGGTTAGGTTTAGGGTCAGATCTTCATGCTTTTTTTCCTAAAAACATACATTTTTGTATAAATTATATGAATTCATACAAAAATTCCACCTCCTAAAATAGTTGTTTTCTCATGTAATCAGGTTGGAAGAAATGATCTTAGCATAAGCTAGCGTGTAAAGAGCTAATGCTGTCATTTGAAACAAGTCAGCCGTTGAAACGGACACCAGCCTCCATTTTAAAGCCAGGCATGTGAGACATGAACTCGCTGGCTTATTAACACCTGCGAGGTGCTTATACGCTTGGAAATCAGACACATTAGACGGGTTAATTATGGTAAGAGATTGTACCATTCCCTAAAGATATTTCTCAAAGCTTACACTAGGAGTCATATCTGTTTCATTTGTTACTTTTCTTATGACAATAAATACAGCCTTGAGGCTAAATATCCTTTAGTTTCAAGAAACCAATGCCATGGTATAGTGACAGCAAACGCGAGTTGCAAAAGGTCAAACTTTCCCTCACTGACTTGAAGAAATGATCTTAGCATAAGCTAGCGTGTAAAGAGCTAATGCTGTCATTTGAAACAAGTCAGCCGTTGAAACGGACACCAGCCTCCATTTTAAAGCCAGGCATGTGAGACATGAACTCGCTGGCTTATTAACACCTGCGAGGTGCTTATACGCTTGGAAATCAGACACATTAGACGGGTTAATTATGGTAAGAGATTGTACCATTCCCTAAAGATATTTCTCAAAGCTTACACTAGGAGTCATATCTGTTTCATTTGTTACTTTTCTTATGACAATAAATACAGCCTTGTGAGGCTAAATATCCTTTAGTTTCAAGAAACCAATGCCATGGTATAGTGACACAGCAAACGTGAGTTGCAAAAGGTCAAACTTTCCCTCACTGACTTTTGCTTAACCCTCCAAATCTGTGAAGCG